CAACTTAAACTGCTCCGTCTCCAGCTCCCCCTATGCATGGTAAATTGGATCTTCCAGTTCCTCCGTGACCGACGCGCCAGGGTCGAAGTGAACGGCTGCCTCAGCGAGGAGCGCCCCTTCAGAGCGGGCCTCCCTCAGGGTTCGGTCTTGGCACCGACCCTGTACACCCTGTGGTCGGCCGACCTGGTGAGCGACCTGAGGAGCGTCCCTGGTACCAGCGTATTCATGTACGCTGACGATACCGCCACACTGAGCGGTAGATGCCGGATGGAGACGGCAAGAGAACGAGCCCAAATCGCAGCTGACACGATGGTCAGATGGGCCAACAGGTGGAAGGTGGTGATCGCCGGGGAGAAGACCCAGGCCCTGGTCCTCTCCCAGTGGTCCCATAACGCCAAAGACTTCCAGATCAAGGTGGCCGGAACATCGGTCAAAGGATCCCCGCACCTGAGACTCCTAGGAGTCACTTTTGACAGACTCCTCCACTTAGGGGAACATTGCAGGAACCTGCGCCGGAAAGTGAAACCCAGGACGGCCCAGCTGAGGAAGCTGACTGGTCGCAGCTGGGGCCTCCAGGAGGCGCAACTACGGACCGTTGCCAACGGATACGTTCGGGGCGCCCTGGAGTACGCGGCAGCGGCGTGGCTCCCGGCGGCGTCTGAAGCTCACGTCGAGCTGATCGAACGCGAGCTGCGAGCGGCGGCTCGTGCGGTCACTGGCTGCACGGCCTCGACCCCGACTGCGCTGCTGATGGCCGAGGCCGGCATCCCGCCGGCGCGAGTGCGATGCCCGGCGCTGGCCGCCCGCATGGTGGGCTTGGCCGCCTCGCTGCCCGGCGACGACCCGCTCCGCGCCGTCGGAGAGATGCACGTCGCGCCCCGCCTGAGGACGACCACCGGATGGCGTGAGGTCGGCCACCGCGCCCTGGCTTGGACAGGCGCGGCCGACGTTAAAGTGGAAGGACGCCCTACAAAGACTATCCCACCGTGGGACCACTATGGAGAAGCTGTGACTTTCTGCCTGGACGTCGGCCCCGGCTGCCAGAGAGCGGCCCCTGCGCACATACGGAGGGGAGCGGCAGAAGCCACACTGGAACATCTGCCGCCCCGCGCCACCTGGATATGGTCGGACGGCTCGGCAGAGGGAGGCGTCTCCCAGGGCGGGGGCGGTGCCACAATCACTCTCCCGTCGGGAGAGACTTGGGAGGTTCGAGTCCCATGTGAACAGGCATGTAAAGATGTGTACAGGCAGCGTGAAATTGGTGCAGAAAAAGTCGCAAAAAAGTTTCAGGGCGATTGCATGCATGCACTGCATGCACTGCAGGGCGTATCATTGGTTATTGAAATCGCGAATCGTTGGCAAGAGGAAGCTTTAAAGACCAAAACCAACGGAATCTTCGATTTCCTCGCTTTGCGCCCGTCCACCATAAGGAAGGGGCTCAAACTGCCGTCTCCCCCCCCCCCCTTGGTTGTGCCCTTGGCACACCGTCACAGTCATTGGCTAGCATTTTATTATTATCATTATTATTCCAACCATAGGCGGCGGAACGGGGGGGGGGCCGTGCCGCCCTTGATTTTGGCACTTTAACCCTAGCCGGCCGAGGGGGGGTGCCGCCCCCCCCCATAGGGTTTTAGCGATAGCTCCGAACACGCTGGCGATAGAGAGCTGAAACTTGGCATACCTGACCTTTGGTTCAAGCCGGATCTTTTGACACCAACCGCATTTTTGGGTCAGGTCAGGTCACTGACCTATGACGTCATAAGTGAACCTCTGCACGGTCTTCAGATGTCGCAACGCCCTCACTGCCAGAGGAGATGTCACAGGGAAATGAAACTTGCAGGATCTAGTATCCATTATGAGTCTCACAACTTCTATATCTCGGATTTTTCCTAGAGGTCATATGAGGTCAGGTCATTTTCGTGACTCACCTTTATAAGTCAATGGGGAAAAATGAAAACTGCTATTCTGGCGCCGGGAACGATCTCCAACTATCTCAAGCACACAGAATCGTGATGTGATGTACGTACTCCTTGCAAGGTAAATGCGTCACTTTTGCAGTGTTGACCTTGCGTGACGTCATGTATGACGTCATCATGGTCATATCAGTTTTTCGTCAATAACTTTTTATCAAATTGAGCTAGCGAGTGGGGAAAGCCACCAATGGACTCAGGAAGACCTGCCGAATCGAATGATATGCGACATGACCTCTTTAGACCAACTTCGTGACCTGGGGGTGCTGACCTGACCGTAACCTGAGGTCAACACCCAAAGTTGATCTGACCCGATTTAAAAGTATATCATTCGACGCGCCTGAGCGAGGCGAACACGATGCTGCCAAAATCACGGCTCTGCGGCTGTTTTTTGCGAAGTAATTCACCAAAAACTGAACCGTACCTTGGGGCACTTGACCTGACCTCAGAGGTCACCGGTTGACCTAGGACCTTAACCCGCGCACCGACGGGGGGGGCGGATATCCGCCCCCCCCCCCTGAGGTTTTTCGCGGATAGCGGGAAAACCGCGGCGCTACGAAATTTGGTATGACTATTCTCTCATCAATTTTACACATGGTGTGCAAGTTTGAACCTCTTAACTTTTAAGGTCAGGTCACCAGGTCACTTTGAATGACCCAACCTCAAGTCACTTTTTTGCAACTTTGTCACCGTGCCAGAGCTACAGTAGATGTCGGAGGCCTTTGAAAGTCGCAGGATGTTATTAGGTCATTAGTAGCTACAATTTGTATATCTCGGAATTTTGATGTCGGTGACCTAAGGTCAGGTCAATTTCGCGACCTCCCCATTATAAGTCAATGGGGGAAAAATCAACTCCCTGTTTTTACCACTAAAACGGGTCGGAATGGCCCCATATACCATACATGACTTCACATGCGATCAACCTTCACTACCTTGAGGTCTGTTTTGCTGTTGGGCAGCTGTAAGGTCATGTGACGTCATCAAAGGTCACCAAAGGTTTTTTGCCAATAACTCCTTACAGGAACAAGATACAGCCGCGCGAATGGTCCCATTGTGTTCAGCTCGTCAAGACGCATCGAATGATATACATGATGACCTCGAGGTCACGTGACCTGAGGTCAACCTTTGACCTTGACCTTTCGAGGTCAACATATATATCATTCGATGCGGATTGACGAGAGGATCACGATGATGCCCTTAGTTTGTTCCTATCTTGACTACTTCGAAAGTTATTCGAGAAAAACCCTCTCCATATCTAGCGCCGCCATTTTGACTTTTTCGACCCCTGTGACGTCATCTTTGACCTGACCTGAAAATGACCTTAGTAAAAATTGTAGACCTTGTCCGTGCGTATCCGATGCCGTTTACCGCTTGTCGCTATCTTGCTTCGTTCTCGAGATCTAAGGGGGGGGGGCGGTCATCCGCCCCCCCCCCGTCGGTACTAAGTTGGCGCAGACCCCCGTCGGTGCGCGGGTTAACCCGCGCCCTGCTGGGGGTCATGGATTTCCACGCCCTGCTGGGGGGGGTGTTTGAACACCCCCCCTTCTAACTCGGCTCCTGGGCCACGTAGCGATACGCGGAAGGCGGCGTTCGAAAGAGCGTCAAAAATAATGAGGAAATCACTTCGGTCAATTTTTTGGTCAGGTCAAAGGTCAGGTCACCAGAGGTCATTGAAGGCAAAATTTCGCCGATTTCCAGGTCGAATGTCGACAATAACTCGCATAACTCGGGAACCAATAGAACTACAGCGCCGCGGAAAAGCGCATTCGATAGCCCTATTAACGCCCTTTCTGAGTAATTCTCTCAGATTTGACCTAACGTCAACGGTTTTGCCTGCAGGGGGCAAAAACTGCAAAAATAGCCGATTTTTTCGGAAACAGTTTTTCCGCAATAACTTTTGACCCAAGCATTGTACGAGCTTACTTTTACCGGCATCGTGTTTCTCTCGTCAAGACGCATCGAATGAACTATAACTTGACCTTGAAAGGTCAACTTGAAAATTTGACCTCAGGTCAAGGTCATGACCTGACCGGAAAGGGTCATGTTGCATATCAGTCGATCCGTATCGTCGAGCTGAACACATCTAAGGCGTTTTCATCGCTCTAGCATGCCTCTATCAAAAGTTATTTGCGAAAAACTGTTAGATACCATTCGTGACCTAAGATGACCTCAGGGCATAAACAGGGGTCACGGACACCATTTTCATGTTCAGTGTGTCTAAACCACTTGTAATTCAGTGTTTGGGAGTGTTTATAATGTCTTTCGTCCAAAACAGGCGCATTTCAATTTTCTCCCATTCATTGACTTATAATGGGGAGATCGCAAAATTGACCTGACCTTAGGTCATCGATATCAAAATTCTGAGATATACATTTTGTACATGCTATTGCTCTTAGCAATCGCTGAAAGTTTCAAAGCGATCGGTCACTCGGTGTAGCTATGACAGACATTGAAACTTTTTATGAGGTGAGGTCACTTCAAGTGACCTGGTGACCTGACCTTGAATGACCTTGGTCTGAAATTTTCACAACATGTGTAGAATTGATGTGTGATAAGGTGTACCAAAAACGGCGGCGCTCCGCGCCGCCGTTTTTGAGATATTCGCGAAAAACCACAAGGGGGGGTGTTCAAACACCCCCCCCCCCAGCAGGGCGCGGGTTAAAATAGGGTACCAATCTCTGCGTCTCGTAACGGTGCACACGCTCGTTTTTTTCCGTGACGCGCTAGCTCCACCAGGGGCGAAACGGCGAGGGGGTCGTACCCGCCCCCCCCCCCCCCTCGGCCGGCGCGTATGTAGAAAACCAATAGGTCCGGCGAGGGTTAACACGGTCTCCTCCTTGGTTGTGCCCTTGTTCTATGCTCAATGGGGGGTTGCATGGAAAGAATGTAACCAAAAGTCGGGGGTGCTAGATTCCAACGTAGTTCAATGTCTCTGATTATAGTTGTTGTTATGAGTTGTGGTATTTTGGTTGACATCGCATATATTGTGTCTAATTTAATATTTAAGCCTTATTTTCATCTTCCCGGCAGATGTACTTTCCGAATGATTGTCACTATCAAGCCCGTGAACAAGCACACCCTCAAGAAGGACGAAACAGTGGCAACCCATCCCGGTCTCATTCGGATAGTGGGATGCCACAACCACACCACTACGGGCGAAGCGGCTCTGAAGGAGCTGCGTGTCCTGCCCAGCGTCGCACGCAGCTTTAACGAGTACTTTGAGCAAGGTGGGTACCGAATTAACCCGGGGGGGGGGGGGGTTATAAGTGTTATACCTAGATCTCGTATGCTGATAAGTAATAAATGTTGACATTTGTTGGCTGTGCCGTCTTACTTGTAGAATATTTTGTCAATACCATTGAAAAGTATGTAAAAGAAAGTGTGTTTACTTTCTCATCGCGCCTCAATATAACATTAACTGTCATGTTTATTGAGCCAGCTTATGAATACACAAACTAAAGCAAATACATGAAATGCATCATTCCTTTTCCTGTTTTGTTTTCGTATCCATATAGTGACGCAATAAACATACCTTTCTGTCTTTTATAATCCATATGAACTGCCAGTTTGCCCGTTTTTTTTTTCTCAGGCATGGGTGCTACTGAAGCCGCTCGCCATCACAGCAGGAAACGGGCGGCTGAGGGAGACGCACTAGAGGTGGCTCGGAAGGACACGAATCCAACGAGAAGAGCTGTGGATTACATGCTGCAGTTGTGGAAAAAGAACAAGCACAGAGGGCAAAACGACGCTGACGTGATCCACTCGCTGAAGAGATACGCCGCGGCCCATCCCGAGCTCTCCATTGACATGCTGCAAACTGACGAGCATTTCTGCGTCTCGCTGGTCACGCCCTTCATGAAAAGAGCCCACAAGGAGATCAGAGAGGCGGGGGAAGTGGTGTACGTGGACGGGGCCGTGTCGGTGGACGGACTCCACACGTGTGTCCGTCCGCTGCTCTGCGCCACTCCGGCCGGCGCCGCGCCCCTGGGCGTCATCTTCACATCAGCACAGGATGAGGCGTGCCTAACAGCAGGTGCGTTTTAATCGGTACACTTAAGTTAGAGTAGGAAATCACAGCTTTAATTTGCTCGTGTCTGTTTCGATTTTAGTGTGGCTTGTTTATGGATAAACAACTAAATGTTCACCGCCGTCCGAACGGGAATCTCAGGTTATCAGGGGAATTCGGATGCGAGAAGTTGGCGCGTTCAACAAACTCGACACAGTCAGTCCCAATCACTGACTTCAATTGGCTGCGGCTGCTCCCACCAACCGCAGATCAAGCCCGTCAGGAGTCTCGTTTGTCGAGCACCGGAGCGACTCGAACCCGGGCTCTCGCCACAGTGAGTCCGATGCTCTAACCAGCTGAATTACGGGACACAGGGATGTTGTAGTCTAAAATGGACCCGTCTAAGTTATAGCGACAGATGGGCATCCACTGCGGGCTATAGCTATTACATAACAAATCGAATGGAATGACATGTCCCTTGAATTTTATTATCCTTCGAGAAAGACAGTTTTTCACACCCCATCATTTTGCGAAGATATAACAATTCATTCTCTTTTAGGGTTCAAGCTGCTGCAGAAGTCGTTGGGAGCTGATAGCTTCTTCGGCAAGGGGAGGCCGGACTGTTTGATGACGGACGACTCCGCGCCGGAGTGCAGCGCGCTGGCGGCCGTCTGGCCCGAGTCGCGGATGTTTCCGTCTGTCTGCCACACGCTGCGGCAGGTAGGGCCACTTCGTGAAACGCTCTAATGCCATCGGGACACGTGAAAAGCTCAGAGCTTTTTTAGATATGCTTGATTTAGAGATGACATTTTCTGACTTGTCATGGGAAGGTCGCGAAAAGTATATAAGTATGTGTGTATGCATTAGCCTATGCCTAAAGCCATTTTGATTATCTGAAACGGGGAGGCTGTATGAGTAATAAATTCGCAGCGTTTAGCTCATGAATTTTGTTAGAGCGGTTCAACTATAATGCAATGACATAATGACTAATGCAATGACTAATGCAATGACATGTAATCATGGTAATATTGCATTGGTGTGTACCGTGTGCCTTCTTAGCGACGAAGTCCCTGTCAAACGAACAAAGTTGTAACCGTGAGGTTTATGAATAGGTGTCAGGTGTGGTACCAACATGGCAAGTATTTCTTTGTGCCGTTAGGTGTGGCGATGGCTCCAGGACAACAGGCACGGCATTGACAAGGATCAGCGCCAGCAACTGCTCAGTCTGACCAGGAGCCTTGTGAACGCCGGATCGCCAGCGAGCTTCTCGGCCATCTGGGAGACATACCTAGCAGATTCGATGGCCCAAAGCTGTGATTCCTTCATAAGGTAAGCTAGTTACGAGCGAGCGAGCGCAGCGAGCGAAGCGAAGTCTTTTCAATATAACGGAAAAATCTCAGTATGAGCGGCCCGGCCCGGCCGGGCCTGTAACGCTTTTGAGAGGCGTATATCTCAGCAACCGCTGAACCGAATGACCTGCGGTCTTTTTTGCTGGGTAGCCCCATCCCTTCTACCCCGTAATTGACTACTTTTGATACATCTCAGTGACCGCCGTGGCACGTGCCACGTGAAAAGTCAAGGGTGTTCAAGCAGTTTTGCAAAATTAATGATTTTGAGAGGCCCATATCTCAGCAGCGGCTTGAGCGATTGTCGCGGTCATTTTTATAGGGTAGCTGCATCCCTTCTACCAAAGGTCGGATACTCTTCATCTATGTGAGTGACCCCCACTGCACGTGCAAAATACAACAATAAGAGGTGCCAAATTTGTTCCCATTTCAGTAACTCGGTAATTACTGGGGCGATTTCGCTGAAACTTGGCATACAGGTAGGCACCCACCAGGCAATGCATTCCTATGTGTTGCGGTTAGGGTGCTACTGCACGTGCGCACGTGCAGGGGGCGTTTCCAGATCTCGAGAACGGCTGGGCCGATTGCGCTCAAATTTGGTACACGGTTGGGGACCGGTTAGTAGGGTGCCGTGCAAAAGTCATTTTGGACCCGTTTGCACGTGCGCACGCGCAGAATGCCGCTTCCAGATCTCAGGAACGGCTGGGCCGATTGCGTTCAAATTTGGCACACCGCTAGCGACCGGTTAGAAGGGTGCTTTGCACGAGCCCGTTGGAAGTACCCTCTCGCCCTTCTGCACGTGCAGGGCTCACTATCTCGCTCGCTCGTTCTTCGCCCAAAACCCCGCAGGGGGCTGACCGTGGTCAGAGCTGCTGCTTAGCCGGGGTCATCTGGCTCCGGCTGTGCGGCGGCTGTGACTTCGGCCAGTAAGGGGAGTAGCGCCCCCTCGGCCCCAGCTTGACGCGCGTTTTGACCTGGACTTGCCTTGCTTACTGGATGGATTGTCTGCAGGATTGGCCCCGCAGGGGTTGGCAGTGGCCGGGGTCGCTGTTGGACTGGATTCCTTGGGCCTTTGCCCCGCGGCGGCCCTGGCCTCGGCCTGCAAGGGGAGTAGCGCCCCCTCGGCCCCAGCTTGACCCATGCTTGCTTACGACTTGCTTTGATCGCTGGATGGACAGATGGTACGGTCCGACTTTTCTTGGTTTTCGTGGTTTTGTTTCTCTTGAGCGGTCTTTGTCTGCTTTTGCTTGCTTCTCACTGGATGTCCGCGTTTCGTTCGATCACAGCTTTCTGATTCTTTTCCTACCTTTTTCGTTGTTTTTGCACCCGCAGGAACACAGCCGAGTTGGGCTAGGGTAAGGGGAGTGGCGTCCCCTCGGGTACCAGCCGGTTTTACTAGGCTAGGCGAGCCGACCCGTACCCCAGGACAACGGGATCCTGGAGGTTGAGCCCCCCACCGCGCGGAGCCAGTCGCGGTGGCTGGGCAACACGCCTCTTTGGCCCTGAGTTCTGTAAGGGCGGGATACTCAGTGGGGCGCCGCACTTGAGGAGCCATTCCCAGTCGTGATGCCGCCGGGGGTGGTGTCTGAGTGGTGTCGCCGGCGGGGTTCGGGCACTTGTGCTCGTCCTCCGTCGGTGGGAATGATCTGGCGCTGCCCCTGGCGGTGACTCGGCGAGGCGTCAAGGGAGGAGGCGGTATCCGACCGTGGGGGGTGGTGAGTCTCTCTCTCCCCCGCGGAAGGTGCCGCCAAGTCCCGTACAGTCAGCTCGGCCGTCCCAGGCCTTGTAGCGGCGCCGTTGCGGAGCGTCGGCGGCCGAGCTGGCGGAGACCAACTCACACTGCATGGATTCTGAACTCCCTCCCCCGACCCCTACCTCGACCTCGACCTCAACCACGACCACCTCGACCTCGGCGACCACTTCGACCTCGGCGACCACTTCAACTCCGGCCCCGCCCGGATGTCCTCGCCCCCAGACCTCGACTGAGGCAACCCCTCGGCCACCCGGTGATCTTGGGAGGCCGCTGCCTCACTTTCTGCTCATGAGCTCAACCGATCAGGATGAGTCTGGCCAGCCCGTGCCGCTCAAACTCAATCCGTTTCAAAGAGAGCAGGCACTCTCGCCTCACTGTCAGCCTCAGCGTGTAACCCAACGCCCAGACGGGACCCTGGAAATCCACCTGACGAACCAAACTGAGATCCGGAATATGCTTGCCCTCAAAGAAATATCATTCAAGGCACGTGATAAGCAGGTCCGCAAAATAGAGGTCAAAGTTGAGCCACATCCGTTCAAAAATTCAGTGCGGGGAGTGATCACATGCCCGGACCTCCGCGGCGTGGCGGACGACGAAGTCGTGGACGGAATGGAAGGGCAAGGTGTCACCCATGCCCGCCGCATCCGCCGTAAGGTGAAAGGATCTCTTATGAACACCGACTCAATCGTTTTAACTCTGAACCGCCCCACCCTCCCGCGGGAGGTCAAGGTTGGCTATCTTGTGGTTCCCATTCGTGCCTTTCTTCCGGATCCAGTCCGATGTTTCAAATGCCAGGCCTTCGGGCACGTCTCCTCGAAGTGCCGGGGAACACAGCGCTGTGGGGTCTGCTCAGCTGAGGGGCATGGCTCTGACGCTTGCCAATCGGACAGTGTCAAATGTGCCAACTGCGGTGGCCAGCACCGGGCATGGCACCGCAAATGCCCTAAGTTTGTGTTCGAGGCTGAGGTGCGCGCATTGATGACGAAGGAGAACGTCTCCTTTCGCGAGGCGCGGGACAGGGTGCGACAGCGCACTCCCGCACCTTCGCTTTCATACCGAGATGTGGCCGCTCGGCCACCCCAACCTGCTGCAAGCCGGGTCGCCGTCGGACCTGGAGTGAGTGGTGCCCTCAGGAAGGCCGGCAATCTTCGCCAGCTTTCTGTAGCAGAGCTGATCCAGCTCCTCTCGGGGCTCATTGAGGATGACACCCCGCCGGCTCCCGCAGCCGATTCTGTGCCAGCAGCGCCTGCTGCTGATACACGTTGCCGGGCAGAATCTGAGGATGACTGGACCGTTGTTCACCCACGGCGCCGCCCGTCGAGGCGCCAGTCTCCAACAGCCACTGTACCACCATCTCCGGGATCTGACAGGGCGATCAGCCCAGCAGTGCTGGAAACCCTGAAGCGGGGAGAGGAGGAGCGACGGGCGAGGGACGCCAAACGTGCCAGACTGGCCGAGAAGGCCAAGGAGGGGAGGCCGTCCCCAGTGGTGAACGCCCCGGCCGGCTCTCCGGCCATGCCCCCTCCCCCTCCCCCGCCTCTCCCGAGGCGGCCCCCTCCGCCGTCCCTTGGGGCGGCATCCGGAACCCTCAGCGTGCCGGATCCTGCACCCAGCCCCCCAGGCTCGGTGCTGGCCGAACGCAGGCGTTCGGCCAAGCGTGGTCCCCCGTCGCCGCCAGAGCAGGGCCCTGGCCGGGTGCGGTTTGGCAACCGAACCGTTTCAGGCCCTGTGGGACCTCGGTCCCAGTCTGCCGACGGCCGACAGAGAACTAGCCACGCGAGGATTCAATACGAATCCTCTGGGGAGGTGATTTTCTAGTCGTCTTTCTACTCAATCTTTTAAACAGTTTTATCGCCTTCTTGGGCTGTTTTACGTCTGGACGGGCTTTTAAAGCGCTTCTGCGCCTCTTTTACTGTCTTCTCCATGCAGAGTTTCTTACAGTGGAACTGTAGAGGACTCCGCAGTAGCCTTGTTGATTTACAGACGGTGATCCGTCGCGACTGTCCTCTCCTGGTCTGTCTACAGGAGACGAAGCTGAAGCCAGAGCATCACCTACATTTCAAAGGGTATTCCATTTTCAGGAAAGACCTGGATACCGACTCAGTTGCTCACGGTGGTGTTCTCGTGGCTGTCAGCCATAGAGTTTCGACGAGACCAATCCCGGTCAGATCCCCACTTCAAGCGGTCGCTGTTCGGGTGGCTCTCGGTCACCGGGAGCTAACCTGTTGTTCACTGTACTGCCCACCAGGGGAGTCTCTCCCTGTGCAGGATCTTCGTATGTTACTGGCAGAGCTACCTCAGCCAGTTTTGATTCTAGGCGATTTTAACTCTCACCACTCTGCATGGGGATGTCAGACAGTTTGCACCCGTGGTCGACTTTTAGCATCTTTTATTGGCGATGAGGACTTATGCGTCCTTAACTCCGGTGCTCCAACTCATTTTACTCTACCTTCTGGCCAGACATCAGTTCTAGATCTCAGTCTTAGCAGTCCGCAGCTCGCTCCTCTTCTCACGTGGCGCGTTGCTGCGCACCCAATGGGCAGCGACCATTTTCCGATCTGGCTGGACCTCCGGGAGCATGGCTCAGTTGGCTGTCGGCCACCCAGGTGGAACTTAACGAAGGCAGACTGGACCGAATTCGAGGCGAGACTGACAGAGTCATTCTCAGATGTTCCAACATACAGTTTGTCAGTCGATGATTTCACGTCCAAACTCGTCGAGGCTGCCGAAGCCTGCATACCCCGCAGTTCCGGTATGCCCCGACGACCACCAGTTCCGTGGTGGAGTGATGCCTGTTCTGATGCAATTCGTGCCCGAAAGCGTGCCTACCGTGCCTTTCAGCGGAATAGTTCCACGGCCAACATGATAGCTTTTAAGAGAGCCAGAGCGGTTGCCAAGCGCACTATCAAAGAGGCCAAGATCTTATCTTGGAAACGATATGTCAGCACTCTTAATCGTTTTACTCCAATCGGCGAAGTATGGTCGCGCATAAAGCGCATCACGGGCCGGCACTCCTCTGTACCCTTACCCGTGCTGAAGGTGGATGGAAGGGACATCATGGAGCCAAACGCCGTTGCTTCGGAGATAGGCCGCGCCCTCTATCGGCGGTGTGGTGATGAGTCCCTCGACGAATCCTTTGTCAGGCACCGCTCGTCTTGTGAAGCTTCTGGGGTCAATTTTAGCACCTCCGACGTTTTGAGCTACAACGATACTTTTACAATGGTTGAGCTCAAGTCAGCTATAAGCTGTCTTAAATGTGTCGCAGAAGGCCCGGATTCTGTCCACAATGAGATGCTTCGCCATCTCCCTCCGGTTGCTCTGGATGCTCTCCTTCAGCTGTTCAACCTCCTATGGATGACGGGTGTTTACCCAAACTCCTGGCGGGAGGCAGTTGTCATCCCTGTTCTAAAAGCAGGGAAGAGCGGTTTGGACCCTCTGCACTACCGCCCAATTGCGCTCACATCCGCCGTTGGAAAGCTGTTGGAAAAGCTGGTGAATATCCGACTTACCTGGCATCTGGAGCGGCACGGACTTCTTGCCAATTCTCAGTGTGGTTTTAGAAAGCACCGGAGTACTGTCGACCACGTTCTTACTCTTGACTCAGTTGTCCGCTCGAATTTTAAACAAGGTCGTCAAGTAGGCGCCTTGTTCTTCGACATTGAAGCAGCGTATGATACCACTTGGCGATTCGGTATCTTACAGAAGCTGCATAAGCTAGGCATTCGAGGCACGATGGGTCATTTTCTAAGCAGTTTTCTTGGTGATCGTTTCTTCCGTGTTCGTGTGGGCAACCAGTTATCTGAGCGGTTCGCCCAGATTAATGGAGTCCCACAAGGCGGTGTGCTCAGCGTGACGCTTTTTGGTGTCATGATCAACGACATTGAAAAGGTCCTCTCTCCAGCCATCGGCCGCGCTCTTTACGTCGATGATTTCGCTATTTGGTGCAGTGCGGCGTCGACTCGATCAATGGAGCGACAGCTGCAGATGGCAGTTGCTCGAGTGGAGGCATGGGGCAAGGAGAACGGCTTCCGGTTCTCCTCTGCAAAGACGGTAGGCATGCAGTTTTCCCGTAAGCGTCGCCCCACTGCACCCATGGTGGTGAGGCTCTACCGTGAAGCCATACCAGTGGTTGCGGAGGCCAAGTTCCTTGGCATGACTCTTGACTGCCGACTCACATACCGAAGTCACATAAAGTGTCTCCGTGACAGATGTCTTAAAGCTCTTGACATTCTGAAGTGTGTCGCTCGCATGTCCTACGGCGCTGACCGTAGTACGCTACTCCTTCTTTATCGGTCTCTGGTGCGGTCCCGTCTGGACTATGGATCTTTTATCTATGACAACGCTGCATCCTCATCCAAGCTTATCCTTGACACTGTCCACCACGCAGCGATTCGCATTGCGACTGGTGCTTTCCGAACTACTCCTGTCGTCAGCTTGTTAGCTGAGGCGAACGAGCCCCCTCTGGCCTTACGAAGGCAGATGTTGGGCATGCGATACGCCATCAAACTTCGTCAGTTCCCTTCCCATCCTGCTCACGGACCGGCTTTCTCCAGGTCGCTCTTAGCAGTCTTTGATGGCGACGAGAGGAGCCGCTCTCGAGTTTTCTGCACCCGAACGGCCGATCTCCTCCGAGATTGTGGCCTAAGCACTCGGGACATCATGCGAGTTGTTATCCTGCCTGAACCGCCTTGGAGGTTATCTGTCCCCTCTGTGGACCTAACCCTATCAGGCACACGGAAAGACCAAATTCTGCCTCTGGCCTTCAAGGCGAAGGCATTGGAACATATTGAATCATATTCAGGCCATGCCGTGGCATACACCGATGGGTCCAAGTCGGACCTCGGTGCTGGCTGTGCCTTCGTCTGCGGCGACGCTGTGCGATGTTTTACTTTATCTAAACATGCATCCGTTTTTACCTGCGAATTGGTCGCCGTCCTCAAACTTCTATGTTTTATCCAGATTCATCCCGCTCGGTCATATCTTGTCCTCTCCGACTCATTGAGCGGACTCCAGTCCTTGACACAATTCTATCCACTTGACCCCCTCGTACAGGAGATTCTTCTCCGTTTGACGGCTCTCGACCGAGAGGGTACCTCAGTGACTTTTTGCTGGATTCCCAGCCATGTTGGTATAGCTGGCAATGAGCGGGCGGACCGTGCTGCAAACCATGCGGCGCGGCAGCCCTGCTCCCGCCGGTTCCCTCTACCGGCCAGGGACTTTTTCCCTACGGTGAGCTCACTCTTCCGCGGAAAGTGGCAGGAGGCTTGGAGCAAATGCCAGACAAACAAGCTGCTACGCATCAAACCGGGTTTGGCAACCTGGCTGTCTGCGTCACGCAAGTCGCGTCGAGAGGAGGTCATCCTCTGTCGGCTTCGCACAGGACACACTTTCGGTACCCATGGACACCTTATTGGCGTCGGCCCAAGACCTGTTTGTGCGAGATGTGGCGACAGACTTTCCGTCCGACACGTTTTTCTGGAGTGTCCAAGACTGGAAGCTGAGCGGCTGAAATTTCTGGGCCTGCGCGGGGCCCAGCTTTCTTTGAGAGCAGTCTTAGGTGACGAGTCCTCTTTGCTTGACTCTTCTCGCCTCTTTTCGTTTATTGCGGCCTCCGGCCTTCAGGTGATTTTTAACGCCCGACACTGAGGAAGTCAAATAAGAAATGGGCGCGATATAGCCTCGCAGCTGGTGCGCCCTGTCACTCCAAATCATCATCATCTTCGCCCAAAAGGCGTTTTACTGGTGTTATTATTATTACGAGCGAGCGCGAAGCTTACATCGTCTCACATTCTCAACCAATTCCGATAGCACTCCATTCTTTGAAGGCCTGCTGTACCCACTAGCAGATCGCGCCTGCCAGCTCCGTCCTGAATGCGTAGCGCCGTCCTTCAGGGCTGTCCCTCCGGTTTTGGAAAAAAATCACATAGCGCCAGATATGGTGAGCGGAGGATTTCAAATCGTTTCAATGCTACAAATGCAGATACAAATGCAACAAAAAAAGCAGACTCTGATGGCAGCCATTTCGTTCAGTGTGCTAACAAAACACTCCGATGGAGCGACGAACATGTTTGTTAAATCGCGTCCACTCACCGCATGGAGGTTCAGGCCCAGCAGGTCGTAAGAGCGTCTGACCTGTACATGAGTGTTAGCAAGCAGGCCATGCGCGTCAATGCCGCTGTCAAGAAGCGCTCTCACGAGATTGAGTTGTCACACTCAATCGTGAGGGCCTGTGTAAATGCAGTTACTTTCTGAATGCACCACTTACCCTGTGGTCTGCCCCAACAGGTACATGGGAGAGCTCATGGAGCGACGAGCAGAGTGGGCCCTGGCCTTCAGAAGCTGCGAGGTGCTCCGAGGACACCGCAACTATAACTTTGCGGAGGCTTCAGTGTGTGTGCTCAAACACATCGTCCTGAACAGGTCAGAATAACTCTTGACTCTTGAGGGTCAGGAATTCTAAGTGTAACTTGACCAAAGGTTACGAGCATAAAAATCCGAGATACCTTTCATGACTCATGTCCTCTGTTTCTTAGCATTTAGCAATTATTAGAAGGTTTAACCCGCGCCCCACTGGGGTCTGTGTATAACACGCCCTACTGGGGGGGGGGGCTATTCATAGCCCCCCCCCCCTCCTAACTCCGAAACTACTGGGCCGATCGTCAAAATTCAAACGGCGTCTGATAGCCCCGGAAAAACTGTCGAGCGAAAACTAATTTCATTGACCTCGAGGTCACCGATGACGGCACAGGTCAGGTCAAAGTAAAAATTATTAGCATCTTGGCTTGTTCACATTTTGGGCTCTGGCCGCCGTCTTACAAGTCAGATCAGGCTGATTTTTGGTTTCCACACTCGTGAACAGATGCTCTAGATACGTTGAGGGTACCAAACTTGTACTTTGATTTTCAGGTCAGGGTCAGGTCATCACAGGTCACGAAAATATTATATCATGCGTCGGTCACGTGACACATGTTTTATGGTCCATTTAGGCCATATATTTCGAATTTGATGTCGTCTGTGTCATTTGAGGTCATTTTGAGTCGAATGCAGCTTAGGTCAGGTCACTTTCAGGTCAAAAAAGGTCAAATTTTGAAGCTAAAATTTTTCAACAAAAAAGGTGTCTATTGGATGCAGTTTGAGCTCAGGAACACGATGGTGCTATTTATATTGGCGTACGATGTCAAATACGTGCTGAAAAATTGATTTGAAAATTAATACTTGTGAATTTTTTACAATAATGCGTAAAACTTGGCCATTTTTGAAGATATTTAGCTAAAACTTGCTAGAGTTAGTCATAATAATGCGTTATATCACATATATTCCGGTTTTTTCGAAAAGTCAAACACTTTCTGAAAAAAAAATGTAAAATTATAAATTTTGAATATTATTATATAAAATTTTCGAAATTTTCCAAAATTTTGAAAATCCGAGATAGCAGTTTGATAGCGCGGTCAATTCTGAGTCCCTTCATGCAAAGAAATTGGATCTAGCTTAAAAACTGAGCTCTTGGGAGCGATTGCCGTGGTTCAATGTTTTGCGTCGAAATCGGACGAACATGACGTCACTCTGACGTCATTTCCGGCCGACCTATGGTAGCTACGAAGTTCAAATTTTGACACAAGGTGTCAAATTGATGCAGCCGAAGGTACTGGAAGTTTGGCGTCGATCCGCCAAGCGGTTTGGAAGTTATTGCAGAAAAACGGGAGGGGGGCTATAAATAGCCCCCCCCCCCCAGTGGGGCGCGGGTTAATGCATTTGTTCATTGTACGTATATAAGAGTGGATGACCTTGCAGCTAAAAGGGGTTTTCATGAATGAGGTGACGGAACTCATGGCACCAGTCAATGAGCTTGAATTAGTGGCTGCCTAAGGTAAATTGTGGTTAAAGATCTGCCTTGTGCTGAGCAAATGCATCATCAACCACTGGGGGGGGGGGGTGACTTCCCCTAAAGACCCGATCATTGACATAACGCCGATGACAGTTTGTATGGGAAGAAATGCACACTTGACCCTCGGCTGTCCCGCCCCCCCCCCCCCCTTCCTGGCCTGTCTTTGCGCCTTTTAGCACCGGATAGGTTCACTACTCGCTCGAATTAACCAACGTCATCTACTAACGCCTCTGAGACGGCGACAGACACAGACTCGGCTCGCCCAAAAACCCCATTAAACATACAAACAAACACCTCAGACACGACATGCTTTCTCGTTCATAATGACGATGATTTGCAGTGGCAGGGCACATCAGCAACAAGCTAATATCGCGATTCTTCTTGTCCTTATCCTCGTTAATAAGATAATCAAGGTTTGTTAATAGAACATAATAGAGAGGGAGGAAAATGGCACGCCATAACAGCGAATTTGGTAACAGGGACATGTTCTACACTGCTGGTTTGGATCTTTGTACCACGTACCATAAGGGTAAAGAGAGAACAAATTATATTGTAACATCACTTCTCAATTATTTGTCATTTTCACAGGTCGTCGAAGGCGGAGAACGCCTGTCAACTCGTGCTGTTAACCGAGGAGTGGGACGCCCTCGTGCGGCAGCGGCTGGCAGACGTGGCCCTCGGGCGGCGAGGGAAGAAAGCGACCGCCTGCGAGGCCACCGCCGGGCACCAGGGCTATGACGTGGTGCAGACAGAAGGTGGGGATGGCAGCTTCAAAGTGAAGGGCGAGGGCGATGACACTCAGGTGTACGATGTGGACCTCCAGACCGGCTGGTGTTCATGCACCAAGGGCCAGACTGGAGCCGTGTGCCAGCACCAGACCGCGTGTGCCGAGCACGCCATGACGAGGCTGCCGAAGGGGTACGTGGGTACCAAGGAGCGTCTCCGGCGGCTGGCGGCCGTGGCCACGGGCGAGGAGGCGGCACCGACGGAGGATTTCTTCGCCTCCCTGTTTGAGCAGCATGACTCTGACGGTCCGAGTGACGCTGCTGCTGATCCAGGCACCACTGACGCTGCGTCTGACCCTCCCTCGGCCGATGAGGCCATGGATGCGGCATCGGAAGACGACGCTGTGAACGTCCAGCCGAATCCTCGTCAGTCGCTGATGGCACGGCCGAGCTCAGCTGTCGTGGACGCGCTTCTGTCGGCGTTTGGAGACAAAGTCCGGACTCTGGGAGACGGCATGACGGAGGAAGGCGCCAGACAAATGACCAGTAGGCTGAAACGGATGCGCACAAGCGCCCAACTGAACAGCGCACTGTCCCAGTTTGGCGACGGTGTTGCATGAACGATACCGGCTCACTTTTATCGCCAAAAGGCGGGATGGATGCCGAGGGGCGTCATAGTCATCGCCACTGGTCACCTGTCTGTCTTCAAGAGCAGTGAAACTGAGGAACAGGGCACAGAGCATAGTAGCCAGCATAACGTTACACCAAGTAAGTGTCGAGTTCTACGAAAGTACCCAATCAGTGAATATTCTCGCGTGGTTTACAGTGTTTACCAGACCAGATCATTAACATTGGTGCATTGCTTCCTTGTGTTTCTTAAACGTGTTGAGTCTTTCAAGTGTGTAACGTGGTGAATTTTGTAAGATGATGTTATGAGTGCAACCGTTTTGTGAACCGTATTCCACCAGCAGTGTAGATACATGAAGCGTAGTGAAGTGAAGAGGTGTAGACACGTGGAGCTTCTGTGTGCATGGTCCGTAAAGCATTGGGAGAGAATGCGTGTTGCATGTCCATTGTGCTATTTGCACATGGTCGATACTGGTGACTGAGGATAGTCGATATGTTATGCCATGCAACCATTGGTGAGCCTCGTATTCGTTGTGTTTCAATAAGGATGTGAATAAAACATACGTGACTATGAAAAAGCGTAAAAACGGCGGCGTATAGCGCCGCCAAATTTTGCATACCCTCTGGGGTATCCTTTTGGACATTTCCGGAAATTTTTTGGTCCCAGTTATTTCAGGTCAGGTCATCAAGCCACAAAAACCGGTACATGTTCGAGGTAAAATTGGATTTATTTACCGGCAACGGAATCACAAAGTTTTTCCCGTTAATAGCGTGGGCACCGTGGCACGTAGCGCCACCAAATTTCAGACACTGCATGGGGCAGAACTGGAAGATGCAATTTCTTACTACTGATTTGTACAATAAAAAGAGCATAGCCACTTAAGGTGAAGGTTGCCGTATAATACATTGCTATCCTGTTGCATTCCTCTCTCGCATCCATCGTGTTGAACCGACCATGGTCAAGAATCGGGTCTCAGAAGCACGGGCTCCTGTCTAGTAGGTGTCTCCATTGCTCGTTGATGCGCACCGTTTGCCAGAAATTTACCCGTTCTTCAAACAGTCTCTCCCCCAGCGCCGGGTGCGAGTTGAGCCTCATGTGGCGCTGATACTTTTCGGTGTAGATGGGCCAGTCTGGCGTTGGCAGCACATCCGAGCTGGGCCGACCAGTGCGCGCAAAGTTGGTCCACAGGTTGACCATAAAGCGGACCATGAAGTAGGCCGGAGTGCCGGGCTGCTCTCGGTCCCGGTTGGCTCTAGTGAACAGGTAGAGAGTATCCGCATCATGGCTGACGCCTAGCTCTGTGATTGGGTACGGCAGATTGTCAGGCTTCGGAGGATTGTCGCCAAGCGTCAGCCGTCCGGGACCCATGTGGTCCAGCACGTACTTGTACACAGGAGCATGCGCCGAGGCTAGGCGAATCTCTTCCGATATCTCGTTGACGAAGATTCGATCGGATAAGATATCCGCAAGTGCCTTTATCGTAACACTGCCGCTTCCGACGAAGAAGTTAATGGCCCTTATTGTTTCCTCGATTGGATCAGCTCCACAATCAAGGATCCTGAATCGGGACTCGCCGATCAGTTCGAGAAAGCTACTCCAAACAGTCAGATTTTTGTCAATGATTTCATTGACGAACTCTTCGGTAGGAAGTTGTTGTGGAAGAAACAAAGCGCCCTCCAGACTAGTCATGCCGGAAATCCACGGAACTAAGTTGAAGTTACCTGTGGCCAACAGCACTCTGGCATCATCCGGTAAGAATGGAAAGTTCCTCTCTCTATCGGCACGGGGACGAAAGCCGATGTTGTCATGTTCGCCGATGGCTTCCCATGCGTCTTGAAGAACCTGAGTTGGAGTCCGCTTGACACAGTCCACCAGGGCGTCGCTATTGGGCTGAAGGCATCCCAACTGTGTGGCCAATTTGACGGCCAGTCCCCTGCGCTTACCACTGGCCGCAAAGAAGGAGAAGGATGCACCTGATTGACTGATAGCGTGCTGAAACAATCCCTTTCCAAGGGGACTGAGCACCAGGAGCGAGACACTCGCCCCTCCTGCTGACTGGCCGAATATGGTGACCAGTCCCGGGTCGCCACCGAACGCCGCGATGTTGTCCTGCACCCACTGCAGCAGCAGCACCTGGTCCAGCATGCCGTAGTTGCCAGGAGCTGCCGCGTCGTGTGTTGTGAAAAAGCCGAAAGGTCCGAGCCTGTAGTTGAACGTCACCAGGACCACCGGCTCGTCCATGACGTAGTGCGGACCATAAATGTCACTGTCGCCAGAGCCGAGGTAGAACCCGCCTCCATGAACATAGACCATCACCGGCAGTCCGGTCAGAGTGCTCTCTCGTCCTGGCAGCTGGCGGGTGTAAACGTTCACGAACAGGCAGTCCTCGACACCAAGGCGAGTGTTGTTACTGTTGCTGTTGAACGCCTCGAACTGGGCGCACTTGTTGCCATGTTCTAAAGCGTCGACGATGCCCCGCCAGCCGGGGTGGCGAAGTGGCGGCTCGAAGCGCAGAGGGCCCACGGGCGGCTGTGCATACCGGATTCCCTTGAAGCTGAAGAAGAGACTTCCGTCGGCGCTTCTGTCGGTCGCACCGCTCACCGTCCCCTCCAGAGTGGTCACCAGCGGCCGATAGGGCGGGCTCAGGTAGGCAGCGGCCGCAGCCGCCAGGAACAGTGTCAGGAGCGCGGCTGCCATCCTACAACTGATCTTTGGCGGGGGCGGGCGGCCGTCTGCATCCTGCTCGACACAGGCAACAACCGGTCTCACGAGTATTAGCGGCGTTTTTTCAGTTCTTATCCATGACCCTGAGAAACGGCAGTTGCTGACACTCTTACATCTGCGTTGCTGGGGAAAGTCGTCCCGAATAGCTCACTTTCTGTGTGGGGAAGAGGACGGGCCTGGGAATAGGGATAGGGTCTTAGGCAGTTGGTCCGGCGGAGCTGCGTGGTAAGGTGAGGCCATTATGCAGCATATCGGTAACTTATGGGGGTTATCAGTCACATTAAGAGTACCTACCTACCTATGTTCCCTTTCCAACTTTCTCTCAGTTTATTGCGCCTTTGCACTCTCCGCCTACTGTTGTCGGGAAACTTGTCAGCCTTCCATAAATACGCATCACGTGTTCGTGCCGATCTCCGACAACAGTTAGACAACACTCGAGCTCAAGTTTTAGACAACAGCCGATATTTTTTCATTCATCATGGTCCTTTTCAAGCCTGTGTCTGCATTATTTCAGATTGTAATGTGATGCGTACGGCCCATTTTGATCGAAATGGAGCTCTTCATTGATGTTCATAGTTCGTCATTATTTCAACTATGAAGCTGATGTAGGCATTCAATGCATCACAAATAACCGTTCGACTGTTGATATTGATAAGGATACTAACGGCGGCGATTTATATGCCGTTTTGAACGCAATAGAAGGGGTTGTCGAATTTTACCTTCGTAGATTGCAGGGCGCCACGAAGACTCAGCTGAAATAACGATGATTGACTTGGACAGTGGGCACCTGAAATGTAGACTGTGGAGATCATCGGCGGTCTCATCTAACTCCGGAGACATTCTAAGTGAAATTTAAGGAAAATCAAACTGGAAAAAGAAAACATTTACATGCACGAGATTAACCTTGCAAACGGCTGATGTCGTGACAAATGGCCGTGGAGCCTAGGGCGTTCCCACAGACAGGCAGCGCAGTGATATAGAGGGATGGAGGGCCCTGGACAGCAATGACTGCGAGCACAGGAAACTTGGAGGAATGAGATAACAAGCATATAAATTATCCTCGCGGCACGATACTGCCATAAAACAGCTGAAACAATTATCGTGTTTAAAAGCCCAAGAAACCTGTTGTTGCTGGGATAGCGGTAGAGCGGAGCTGACAGAGCCGCTCGTCCCAGCCAACGGCCAGTTGCAGGATGGCGGCCAGGCTATTGACACTGTTCCTGGCGGCTGCGGCCGCTGCCTACCTGAGCCCGCCCTATCGGCCGCTGGTGACCACTCTAGAGGGGACGGTGAGCGGTGCGACCGACAGGAGCGCCGACGGAAGTCTCTTCTTCAGCTTCAAGGGAATCCGGTATGCACAGCCGCCCGTGGGCCCTCTGCGCTTCGAGCCGCCACTTCGCCACCCCGGCTGGCGGGGCGTAGTAGACACTTTAGAACATGGCAACAAGTGCTCTCAATTCCAGGCATCTAACAGCAGCAGCAGGAGCAGCAGCAGCAACAACAACCTCAACAACAACAACATTACCCGCATCGGTGACGAGGACTGTCTATTCGTGAACGTTTACACCCGTCAGCTGCCAGGACGGGAGAACACTCTGACCGGACTGCCGGTGATGGTCTACATTCACGGAGGCGGATTCTACGTTGGATCTGGCGACAGTGACATTTATGGTCCGCACTACTTCATGGACGAGCCGGTGGTGCTTGTGACGTTCAACTACAGGCTCGGACCATTCGGATTCTTCACAACACATGACGAGGCAGCTCCTGGAAACTACGGCCTGCTGGACCAGGTGCTGCTGCTGCAGTGGGTGCAGGACAACATCGCGGCGTTCGGTGGCGATCCCAAACTGGTCACCATATTCGGCCAGTCAGCAGGAGGGGCGAGTGTCTCGCTCCTGGTACTGAGCCCCCTAGGGAGGGGCTTGTTCCACCGCGCCATCAGTCAGTCGGGCGTGTCGTTCTCCTTATTTGCGGCTAGTGGTAAGCGCAGGGGACTGGCCGACAAACTAGCCGCGCAGTTGGGATGTCTTCAGCCCTACAGCGACGCACTGGTGGACTGCGTTAAACGGACTCCAGCTGCGGTTCTTCTAGAGGCCTGGAAGGCCACCGGCGAACATGACACCATTGGATTCATCCCTCGTGTCGATCAAGAGAGATTCTTACCTCTTCTGCCGGAAGACGCACGGGTTCTTTTATTAAGAGGCAGCTTCACCGTAGTTCCATGGATTTCCGGTATGACCGAACTGGAGGCTGCCACGTTTCTTCCCTTTGGGCTACCTGACGAGGAGTTTGTCGAAGCAATAGCGCAGAAAAATCTAGTCGCATGGAGCAGGTTCCTCCAACTGACCGGCGAGTCCCTGTTCAGGATCCTTGACTGTGGCGCGAACCCGATCGAAGAGACAATCAGGGTTCTCGACTTCTTCATCGGAGACCGTAGGGTCACGGTGGGAGCCCTCGCACGTCTTCTCTCCGATCGACTGATCGTGAACGAGGTTACGGAGGAGATCCGCCTCGCCTCGCTCCATGCGCCCGTCTACAAATACGTGTTGGACCACCGGGGTCCCGGGCGGCTGACACTTTCCAGGACTATGCCTGCGCCCGCCAATCTACCGTTCCCAATCACCGAGCTGGGAGTCGGTCACAATGAGGACATTCTGTATCTGTTCACTGGAGACACAAGGGAGTTCCAGCAGCCTGGCACTCGGGCCTACTTCATGGTCCGCTTTATGGTCAACCTGTGGGCCAACTTTGCACGCACGGGTAGGCCCAGTTCGGATGTGCTGCCTATGCCCGAGTGGCCTATCTTCACGGAGCGCACTCAGCTACACATGAGGCTCAATTCGCAGCCGG